AGAAGAAGAAGAAGAAGAAGAAGAAGAAGAAGAAGAAGAAGAAGAAGAAGAATAGGAGGAGGAGGAGGAAGAGGAGGAGGAAGAGGAGGAGGAAGAGGAAGAGGAAGAAGAACTATCTGAATTTCAAATTGATTCTTCTAAGGAATTCAACATCAAATCAACACAGAAAATGGGTTTTTGAAAGTCACAAAGGTGATCCCAGTTCTAAGTAGGAGTAGCCAATAGCAACCTCAGAAATAAGTTAATTACTGAATTTTCAAAGATTTCTAATAAGTTGAACTAAATTCAGAAATTTTAAATACTTAAATATTTATTGCCTACTCCTGTCTACTTTGAGAATTCTAACTATATAAATATAAGTTTCTTGGTTTTAACAGTGAACTATTATGACTAATCTGTAAATTCTTCATTTTTATTTTGGACAGTTTTTATTGTTATATTCATGTATGTTTGTAAATAATTTATTTTCAATTTGCAATCTATTAAAAAATTAAAAACAAACAAAGATTTCTAAAATATCAGTATCTCAATAATATTTGGAAGCCTAAGTTTTGAAAAGTGATACCAGTGCTCTAAATAGGATTCTATGGTGGGCCTTATGTCCCAACATGAGACTCACTCCATCGTCCTCCTGATCCATTTTCAAATGCCTGCAATCCCAAGTGAGCATCTGCTTTGTCAGTCTATTGCTACAGCCCAAGACAGCCTGAATTCCAGGAATTGATCTGTAGTCAATGACTTGTTCCTTGGACAGCTCTGTATAGAGGTTTTGGCCTTGATTCATTTACATGTGCTCCTGTTCAGAAAGTGACAAAGATGGTCTGCCATATTTGAAGACCATGGAAACTTCTCACCATGGAGAAGGCCATTATAATTTTGCAACATATTTGAGACGGTATCAGAATGCATTATCAACTACTCTGTTCACTCTTATTTTGTGATATGCAATGATTTTTGTGAGTCCTATCACTATTGCCAGACATGACAGACATATCTGAAGGTTTAAAAATAAAACCATTACTACACAGTCATTTCAAGAGAAAGTAAAACTAACTTTTTTCTAGGTAGTGATTTGCAACCACTTCTAAGAAAACTGCTTAGAGATAATGCTTCAGCATTCAGGAGGTCCTGTCACTGGCTCACGTGTAAGGATGCGCAGTGGGATGGATTCCCTGGAGATTTCCTTGTTCTTTGCACAACATGTCTGTGCCATCGAATGCAGGACCCACTTCACTCAGGAGCCAGGTCCCATTCTTCCCTGTGCTTTCAGAAGGTTTACATTTTGCAGGAATAAAGAGGAGAGCTCCACTGATCACAGTGATATTAGAAATGCGATGAAGAATTATACACACTACAAAAGCATGCTTTCCTAACACTTGAAGTTTAAATTTAGTAAATGTCAAGCTGTTGCATGGAGTGACTGTTCAGGTAATAAGATAAAATGTTCATGATCTCTATTAATATAAACTGCTAAATCTGAAAAATCATATGACTATATGGGGATAAGTATGGAATCAGTAAATTAAAAATTCCTTATGTTTCATAAAACACAGTTGAATACTATCATCAATCTGGCATGAGACAATACTTTTTGGTCTAATCTTGGATTAATTTACCAAATCTGGACTTAATTTATATCAAAGAAACAAAAAAACAAATTGTGATGATCCACCCAAAAAGTTATAAGCGAAAGTTATATTTTACCAAGTGTCTGGGCCAAACTGTTAGGTATATATAACTGACAAATTTCCTTAGGAGTTATTGGAAAGGTTGGAGTAATTACTTTTTTAGCAGAAATACAGGACCATATTTTTAGAAAATATGCTTTGGGACAAGTTTCTTCACCTCCTTAGGTTCCACTTTGAGAATACAGAGAATGAATCCGTGTTTTCTGCTTCCCAACTGGATGACATTCCATACCAGAAATGTTGTTATGGCATTTCACAAAAGTTTTAAATGCTACCTTTTGT